TCATCAATGCATCTGAGTCTAAAGAGATCGTGTTCACAAGAAACGCTACTGAAGCTATTAACTTAGTGGCTTACTCCTGGGGGCTCTCAAATTTAAAACCAGGAGATGAGGTTGGTTTCCAAGCCCTGTTCATATTAACAGAAAGCCTGTTAAACTATTTACTATGATTTGATTAATAGAAATGTAATTGAACTCTTCAGATATAAACTTATTGAGGATGCCTGAGATTTAAAGATTCCATATTACATTTAGCTTATTTTGTTTGCAGATATCATTCCTTTGATTCACTCATGTAGAATCTCAGTTTTTCCGGACTAGAATGATCTAAAATGTGTACATTTAAATCTAGCATGCTGGGATAGTTTTTGTATTGAGTTTAGTTCGAGGTTTATCAGCAACAACATAAAATTTTCTCATTGATGAGTGAATTATTTTTTACATTCACTGAACTGTAGATGAAATATGAGGAAATAAAGAAATCTGGTTTACTAAACTTTCTACTTATTTTTTATCAAGCAGTAGTCAGTCCATGCAGTTTTCGTCGCGATTTTCACTATGATCATCCGGAAACAGTCTCTGCGTACATCCGCCCCCTACCCCACCGTTGGTGGGAGCCTTTGCGGCACTGGGGTAATGATAATGATGATGATGATGACTGAACTGTAGAGAAAAACCTCTACAGATGCCAACTTGCCATGAACATATTAGTTATGTTGGATGGCCATATTTTTTCCATATGGAGCTGCCAAAGACGCCATTCTTCACGAACTTTCTATAGCAGCTGACACAAAATCGGCCACGTTATTCCGCTACGGGCCTACCGTCACTGCCATTTAACAAAATTTTCATGGTCTCATCAAATCACTCTCCTTGATAGTAGATATGTCATGGCATTCACGTTGTTATATAATCTTGGTGTTTTCTATATATTGGTTCATAGTAACTAGTATTACATGTTTATCTTTGGTGATGAAAGGTGCTTAACATTTACAGATCATTGTTACTATAGCTGAGCATCACAGTGCAATAGTACCTTGGCAATTGATTGCTCAGAAGACGGGTGCTATCCTAAAATTTGTGAATTTGACCAAGGATGAAGTTCCAGATGTAATGGAGTTGAAAGAAATGCTCTCAAAGAAGACAAAACTTCTTTGTGTCCATCATGTCTCAAATATGCTAGGTATGTGAGTGCTTTGTATTATTTAGCAGGTACTAGAAAACACATAAGCTCCATGTAAAATGACATCGAAGAGTTCCCTTTATGCTAAGTAAGAAGCTTGACCGCATATGGCTGCTAATAAGCTAGTGATGTCACAACATAGATCTTGATATAAGCTCCTCGGCCTCCTCCTAAGGTGGATGTAGCAGCTGTCCTGCATAACTTTGTTTATGTGAATGCATGTACCTTTGCATCCAAACGCTTGTTTACCATATTGTGCTAGATTCTCAGGGGTGTGAATTGAGGGATTCATTATTAATTAACAAGTTATAAATGGCCACTTATACAGTTATACCCCTTAAGCTTGTTTTGAGATTATGTATAGTAGTTTACACCATCTTGCAGTTCGGCTCTACAAAAATTTACTTATAGATTCTTTTGGGACAAAAATAATTTCCTTAAACGTGGCTTTTTTAGGGGTGAGGATAGGGGGTAAATGTGTAACAGTGTGTGTGTGTATAACTAGGACCATATCTAACTGGCTTTGTGATCTTAGTTATTCTAATTTAGGTTGGCATACATTACAATTTGACATCATGTCGGCAGCTTTATGTTGCCATCTTCTATGAATTAATATTTGCAGTGTATTTATAAAACAACAAAGTCACTTTTGTATATTTAATTTGATAGCTTGCACTATTTTCTGTCTATCATTATCTTAATGCTTTCCATCTCACTGCCACAACTTGGTCGTATATCATTATTATTATTACTTTATGCAGCTTCTTTGCTTCCAATTGAAGAAATTATAAGTTGGTCACATGCCATTGGAGCAAAAGTACTAGTAGATGCTTGCCAAAGTGTGCCACACATGGTAGTTGATGTTAAGAACCTTGATGCTGATTTTCTTGTTGCTTCATCCCATAAGGTGAGATCTTTGTCCCTCAGTTCAACATCTAAATTTGCATTAACCTGTTTAAATCGACGGGCTAATCATGCTTCAGATGTGCGGGCCCACAGGCATTGGATTCTTATATGGCAAAAGTGAGCTCCTAAGTACTATGCCTCCATTCATGGGTATGTATTCTCAGTGTGTCTTATTATGGTCTATCTTCATTTGCATATGGATTAATTCTTGAAATCCTGATTGGATTTAATGTACTGAAGTGTGCAGTATTGGCTTTCCTTGAGTACAGGAGGAGGTGAAATGATAGCTGATGTGTATATGGATCATTCAACTTATGCTGATCCGCCTTCCAGGTTGGTGTCTTGCATGGTATTTTACTATTTCATCTGAAATGCCTTGTCGTTTTCCAGGATCTTCTCTATACAACCTTATTCTATTATTTTTGAAAACATAGAACTATCTTTTGAGGTGTGGGGGGGGGGGGGGGGGGGGGGGGAGTAATGCTAACAAATAAAGTGTACCCCTCCTCCTTTCCTATAATTATGTCACATTTTGGGTTGCGGGGATTACAAGGCTCAATTACATTAAAAGTTCTATTAAACTACTAAATCCAAAGTTAGTAAGATACATGATTGAACTGAAAATTCATGGTCAATTCATGGTTGAATCAACGTGATAGGATATAGGCTTTTTAAAGTTTCTTTCTTTAAAGTGAACATAAGTGCTTCTATATTTTTAAATTTTAAAAGTTCAAAAGTTTAAAAGTGCTTCTACCACTCTGTCAAACACTCACATCGGTGATCAGATTTGAGGCGGGGACACCTGCAATTGGAGAAGCTATTGGGCTTGGAGCAGCCATTGACTATCTGTCTGGGATAGGCATGCAAAGAATTCATGATTATGAGGTATGTCCACCCCCCAACACGTGTCAAGTCTCAGGTGCCATCAGACAGCAATAGTCTCTTTTTCTTCTTTTTGTAAAAAAATACTACCTCCATCGCTATTTGAAATTCATGTAATTCTTTCCGTGACGTCCTTAAATAAGGTCCTATCTCCTTATTTGTTAAATAAACTTATCAATTTACTCTACTAGACTACTACCCTTATGGCCTTATTTAATAAGAACTAAACAATGTCAAACCATGTTAAACAATACTACCTCCGTCCCAATTTAAGCTTCTCATTGAAAAGTGGTAAAATTATCTAGATAATAATTAAATAAGATAATTCGAGTATATTTTCAGAAGTAACTTTGATGAGTATATAATATAATGAGGTCATCGATGATAACTGTGATATGATAGATATACGGAGTATTATTTTTAATATTTGATGATTAATTTGTCATTAAAGAATGCTAATTATTTCCTAAAAATGGGAAGCTTTAGCTGGGACGTCAGAAAAAGCAAGTGAGAACTGAGAAGCTTAAGCTGGCATACTGGAAAAAAATAGAATTATTACATACTACGTATTTCATACCATTATGATAGCTGTTGTTCTACATATTGAATCATTTCTCAGGTGGAGCTCGGTCGTTATCTATTTGACAGCCTCTCTTTGGTACCCAATGCCCGTATCTATGGTCCTGCACCTTCACAAACTGCAAAACGGGCGTCACTTTGTTCTTTTAACATCAAGGATGTTCACCCTACAGATATTGCAACTTTCATTGACCAACAGGTATCAAATACAACCTATATATCCTCAACAAACGGGTCTCATTTATCCAGTATTACAAACTGATTTCTAATATTAGAAACAATATTACAAACTGATCTCATTCTCTCCTTGTCGATAAAGCCAGACCAATGACAGAAAAAATGAGAAGGCAATACGATATAGATAGAACCATTCTTAAAATGGGACGGTATTATACCAAATTGTGCAGAAAACCATTCCAAAATGTGAAATATCTAAAGACTTTGTAAAGATAAACTAATAAATTATCAAGAAAACATACTGGGAAAAAAAAGCATTTTAAGCCTAACCAAATTGAACCTAAAGGAGCTAAACAACTTAAATCTCACCATTTTACCTTTCAAATACACAGTATAGTACGTTATCCAATAGCTAGTTAGTTAAGACTAATTCAGAAACATAAATTTATAAAGAACACTCAAAAAACATAAACTAGTATAAAAATACTCTGTAGTAATAATAATTAATAATAGCATAAAATTGAAAAAGTATATGATGAAAATGTCAGAATCGGGACAGCCAATAGTGTGTACCAATCTCTGTCTCATTTGAGATTTGTTTGGTGTGAAAAGGTAACATCCCATTCTAGAACAAGTTAATCAATAGTATTTTGCATATTAAAATTGAAAACCTCGCGTTATCAGTAAATTATTTGTGTGATTATTTGCAACATGAACACATAATTTAGGCCACCATGACTCTGAATCACGAACAACTTTGTATATGACATGCAGCACGGCGTTGCCATCAGATCTGGTCATCACTGTGCTCAGCCTTTGCATAGGTACTTGGGAATCAGTGCAAGTGCACGTGCTAGCCTTCATTTCTACAACACCAAAGAGGATATTGATCACTTCATCTGTGCATTAAAAGACACAGTAGCCTTCTTCACTTCTTTCAAATAGCAGCTTTTCCTTGCATGGTTGACATTGCGCAAGGTGCCGTCCACAACAATGATTTGTTGGTTTTTAAAGCGTGGCCACAACCTCCAAATATTTTGTGTATAGGGACAATAAGGTTCTTAGTGTTTATTCATTTACAAATCGTTGAAATGTTTTTCCTCATTTTCTAATTTAATTAACGAAAATGAAAACTTCAATTATTATTTCAAATAGAACAGTGCGATTATAAGTAATTGTTGTTTGCTTTCAGTGCCCCCAACTATACTTGTATAGTTGTATTCATATAATCATATGCCCTTATTCTCTCGGATAACCTTATCCACTTGTGTGTGTATGTGTTTCTGTTGCAACTTTTAAATACCTGATCATTTTGAGCACAGGTTGGGAACAACGCGTAAAACTAGTGTAATTTCCTAAACAAGTCGATTTCCCTCCCTATGGATGGACCCAACCGCTTCGGGCCGGCCCGGAACCGGACCAGCCCGGTTGGTGCTAACGGGGCTCGGGCATTTACCCGGTTGGGGCGGGTTGGGCGGGCCGGGTTCGTTGAACCGGCCCGGTCGGGCTGGGCTGGGCCCGTTTTTTTTTTTTTTTCTTGGTTAGGGCTGGGTGTTTGGGGGGGGGGGGGGGGTTGGGGGTGGGGGTGAAGGGGGGGGGGGTCGGGGGTTAATTAGAAAGCAAAAAAAAACATAGAACCGGGCCCGGGCTGGACCCGGTTTATACCCGGGTCGGTTCCGGTTCTCCCTTTCCCAAAAAAAGCCTGCCCGGGCCCAGGCCCGGCTTGGAACCGTCCCAGTCCGAGTTCACCCCTACCTATATCATCTTTTGATTCATTATTAATATGTTTGTCATAAGAAACTGGAATCGGAGGCTAATGTTTGAATTAAAATCTATTGTCTGAGTAAAATTAATGTGTCATAACTATTTCAGCCCTTTAATGCTTGAATCGAGGACAATTGTTATTAGGGGAAAATAATTTAATAACCAATCTTTAATGGATTATGAGGTAAACACTTCAAACTTGCATATGTAATATATATACTCCAAAACTTTATATAAAAAGTTATTTTCACATTATGATTGTATGTTTTTTTACAAATACAAATTTGTTGGAATAATTACATAATTTAAAATATTCTAAACTTTGTTAGAATGTAGTTAACATTTTAAAATTTCATTCGTGAAATAAATAATGTTATATCTAGTACAATTTAATTTTAATTGCATTCTCATAAATGCTTTATGTATTTTAAATTATGAACTTAATATCATAAAATTACATTTATGAAAAAATATATACTCACAGTGCTACAATACTGTGAGTATATATTTTTTCATAAATGTAATTTTATGATATTAAGTACATTTGTGGAAAAATATATACTCACAGTGCTAGGAGAACTTTTTATATAAAGTAAGTAACACAAGTTTGGGATACTCATCTTACACACTTATCTTACACTCCTTGAAAGTTTGAGATATTTAAATTATTTTCCCTTTGTTGTTATGGAAGTGTTGAATTTGAATAATTAGCTAAATGAAGCACATCCGTCAAACAAAAATAGCCATCAAAAGGTGACTCAGAAATACTACCTCCGTCTAAAAAAACTTTGTCATCGTGTAAAGTTTGTACCATGATTGTGATCAGTACTACGTATAATATTATGAAAGTTATAAACTTCATACTTCTATTTTATACTTCTATCAAAGTATTTTTAATAAATACTCCCTTCGTTCCTAAATAAACTTCCAACTTTCCTTTTTCATCCGTTCCAATTAAAACTTCCATTTTCCCTTCTGGTAAAGAATTTGTGGTTCACAACATTTCTTACACATTTCTCTCTCATCTGCATAACTCTCCGCCACACAATATCCACTATCTTAAACTTTGTGCCAAACCCATTTGGAAGTTAAAATGGGAACGGAGGTAGTAACATTTTTATATAATTCTCACTCCCTCCGTTCCCAAAAATACTTCCCACTTTCCTTTTTGGGCTGTTCCCAATAATACTTCTCACTTTCCCATTTTGGACAATTTGTGTGGTTCACATTCATTTTACCTTTTTCTTACACAACTACAATCATACATTTCCACTTTATTCCACTTTCTTAATAAGCGTGCCAAGTCAAACCGGGAAGAATTTTTAGGAACGGAGGGAGTATAATTTAAATATTTTCCAATAAAGATAAGCTGGTCAAAGTTTTGAAGAAGACAGTTTTTTGAGACAAGAGTAGCATAAAATTACAATAAATTACATTTAATATATGAGAGAATTCCTTAAATAAGACTAAAAGAAGGTATAATTGCAAAAACAGGACTACTATGTTTCATTGGACATAATAGGACTAAAAAAACCTAAACCCACTAAAATACCCTTAATGAAAAATTTACGCACGCATGTTTCCCCTTCCCCTGAGTTGCGCAGGTTTCCCCTTCCCTTTGCTTCGCAGGTGTGTCGTGTTCGCAGGTTTGGAGTCGATGCCTCCACCATTGACACCTCTGCCACCATCCATCAAGTTTGCCACCACTACCACCCCTCAGTGAGTACGCTGCCATCATTCTCCAACAAAAGATGATATACGGGAATGCCACTTAATATGCATAGTGATACAATAATGACAATTTCATATAGAAACATGACATTCTCAATATGACATTTTCAGATACTATAATGACAAAGAAGTGACATTTTTTAAAAATGACCACTAATGACACAATAATGACAATTTCGTATAGAAACATGACATTCTCAATATGGCATTTTCAAATATTGTAATGACATAAAAGTGACATTTTTTAAAAATACCCAATAATTATGACATTCTATTATTCAAAAAATGGCATTTTCTGGAATCATTATTCTGGGCATTTTGAGATTCAAATTAATCAAAATTGATTACAAGAAATTCAAGTTCAAATATATCTTCATTTGAAACTTTCAAAATTCAAAATTTTATTTAAATTTTGATTGATAAAAAACTAAAAAAGAAAGAAAGCAGAGTCGATGAAGAAGAAGAAGAGGAGGAGGAGGAGGAGGAGGAAGAAGAAGAAGAAGAAGAAGAGGAGAAGGAAGAGGAAGAAGAAGAGTAAGAGTACACACTTGTCTTGGCTATTGCAGCAGAGGTCGTCGATGGCGGAGCTACGGTGCTGTGAGGCTACGATCGATGATGGCAGAGTGCAACCATGGTAGATGAATGCGGCGATCGATTATTTGTAGAAGGCAGAGGATGAGTCGGTTAGGTTAATGAGGGGTAAACAGGTAATCTTTAGTCCTATTAAGGGAATAATAAAATTGAAGTCCTAAGCGAAGATCTTTGTTACTACCTTCGTTCCGTAAAAATGTTCTCACTGACACAATTATTTAGACAATAATTAAATATGATAATTCAAGTATATTTTGAAAAATAATTTTGATGGTTATATAATATAATGAGGTCATTGATGATAATTGTGATATTAAAAATGTATTATTTTTATCACTTGTTGATTAAATCGAAAGTTATGAGTATTAATTATTTCTTAAAATCGAAACAAGAACCTTTAAACAAGACTTCCAAAAAAGAAAGTGAGAATCAGAATGGGACGAATGGGGTAAAAATGTAAAATATTATTCCGTACGATTTTCTATATTTTATATGATTATTGTGTGTGTAGTATGTATTTCAATATATTACTCGTAATAAATATTGTAGGGTATATTATATTACAATATTGTAATATTGTAGCTTATAGACGATCTATTACAATATTGAGAACCACTCATTTGTTCCCCGCCCACGGCGATCTATTACAAGTTCATATGAAGAGGCCGTTTGGCAACCCTCATTTTCGGCTTATCAGGCTTATCAGCCAACTTTTTTACCAAACACGTAAACTTTGCTTTCGCGCGCTGAATTGTGTAATAAGTCGAAAAAGTAAGGTTGGAGTTACTTTTCTGGCTGTATTGGCTGAAGTTACTGTAGATGATCATTTTAGCTATTTTTACATATAATTTTTTGGCGATATGGCGACATTCCTTAAGGACAACATATATGTGTAATGAAGACCTCCCTACGTCAAAATCATGGTGTCATTCTTGTAGTTGGAGTTGTGTTACAGGTGTGGTTAGGAGATAAAAAAGAGAACGATAAGTATGATAGTTGGAAAAACAAGTGAGCTTCCCGCCCTAAGCAAGGAAGTGTTCGTCGATTCCACCGAACGCACAAGAAGAATTCTTCTCCAAAAGATTGATGATTTTATTTATTAATATGACACCTCTATTTATACTAGTCTCAAGAGTCTTGGTGGTCTAGTATTAGAGTAAACCTGATTCTATTACAGAGTACAATACTTTTATTAGGAAATTAACTAAAATAGAGTATCTCTACTAATAGAAAACTGCAACTAATGATAATCTTAGGAAAAGGGTTGCCGTCAACGGCACCGCCTAGTGTCTGGTCCGGTGGTGCCCTGGTTAGCGGGGTACAGCGCCGAGGTGGAGGGTTATTGGATTGAATTTCGACGCTAGACTTTTGGATCCAGAATAGGCGTTGGGTGGTACTTGGGAGCATGAGTATTTTGGCATGGAATTGCAGAGGTCTGGGAAGCCCGGCGGCGGTGCAATGCTTGACGGAGCTGGTGCAAAGGAATAGACCTTCAATTCTATTCTTGATGGAGACGAAGTTGAGATGCAGCCAGGCGAAGCACATCCTCCGGTCGCTAGGTTTTGCTAACAGTGAAGGAACGGATGCAGAGGGGGCAAGGAAGAGGAATCATATTGGGATGGAACGAAGACTGTGACATCTCAGTGATGGAATCTCAGGCCAACTTTGTCGACTGCCAAGTGAGTTCAATGGATGGAGGCGTTATGTGGCGATTTACCGGATTCTATTGATACTCGGAGACGATGAGGCGATGAGCGGCATGGGATCTTCTGAAGAGCTTGGCGGTGAGTAACTTTGCCGCATGGCTGGTCATGGGAGACATGAACGATATAATGTATGCATCGGAGAAGAAAGGTCGAGTCCCGCATCCACCATGGCGTTTACGGGGTTTTAGAGAAGCAGTGGCAGCCAGTGGCCTAAGGGATTTCCCTTTCGATGGGTACCAGTGGACATGGGAACGAGGAAAAGGAACTCAAAACTGGGTAGAGGAAAAACTAGACAGGATTCTAGTTAATGACTCCTGGTGGGACAGCTTTAGGGAGGCAAGAGCGAGCTCATTAGAAGCTACTATGAGCGACCACATGACCTTATTCATCCGTATTAAGCCAACGTGTTTTAGCAGGACGGAGAAGAAATTTCGCTTTGAGAATAACTGGTTGAAAGAGGAGGAGTGCAGAACAATAGTGGCTA